AAAAAAAAAAAAAAAAAAAAAAAAAAAGGTGTGAAAGCACTTTAAGCATGAACTGCCCCAAGACATGAAAATAGCATTCTGCATTCCATTCTCATCCTGTGAATGTCTCTAGGACATACTAAGGTGTCTCACAGCTCTTTGCTGAAGTGGTGCACCTACATTTGGCACTAGAAGACACTCCACTGTTGACTGATAAGAGTAGCAGGCCCAGCTGCCCACAACACAGACTCCCACTGAGTGGCCCACGGAAGAACTTCCCCTGTAAAGAGCACTTTCAGAGGAATGATAAATAGAGCTGATATACAAACTTTTTTTTCTGTCAGGTGAAAGTTTTTACAATTGTAAAAAGCTACCTAAAGGCTGTTTTTCTCCATAAACATTACATAAAGGGGTAAGGAGTATATTTTCTGGTTTCTTTTTTATTGTGAGATAGGATCTCACAGTGTAGGCCACACTGGCTTCAAACTTCTGGTTCTCTTCTTGCCTCAGTCTCCTTCTTCAGTGCTGGGGTTACCAGTGTGGATCATCATGTGCAGCTTAGCATATCTGACTTAATTCTCTTAGGATTTTTGATAGGAAAAGTGTTACCTATTAAAACGCCTTTTGTCACTTTTAGGTGACTTTTTGGATTTTGGCTTTGTGTGCGGAAAGTGTGTACAAGTTTTTAATTAGTGCATCTTTCTTTGTCCATTTTTTATTTTGTTTAATTTTATTTATTTTGGCTCTTTGAGACAGAGTTTCTCTAAGTAGTCTTGGCCATCTTGGAACTTGCTATGTAAACCAGGCTTAGCCTCAAATTCATAGAGATCTACCTGCTTCTGCCTCCCTAGTGCTGAGATTAAAGGTGTGTGCCTAGAGAGGACAGGAGCTCCACAAGGACCAAATATATCAGGGCACAGGGGTCTTCTATGAGACTGTTTCTCTAACCAGGGACCATGCATGGACATAACCTAGAACCCCTGCTTGGATGTAGTCAATGGTAGCTCCGTATCCAAGACGGTTCCCTAGGAAGGGGAACAAGTATTATTTCTGACAGGAACTCAATGATTGGCTCTTTGACCCAGAGGGAGGAGCAGCCTTTGCTAGGCCACAGATAAGGACATTGCAGCCAGTCCTGAAGATAATAGATTAAGCTAGGGTCAAATCGAAGGGGAGGAAGACCTCCCTTATCTGTGGACTTGGAAGGGGGCGGGGAGGAGATGAGGGAGGGTGGGATTGGGAGGGAAAGAGGAAGGGGGCTATAGCTGGGATACAAAGTGAATGACCTGAGATTAAAACAAAAAATAAAATAAAATAAAAATAAAGGTGTGTGCCATCACACAAGGCTTTTCCATTTCAAAAAAAAAAAAAAAAAAAAAAAGATTATTTATGTGTACTGGTGTTTTGCCTGCATGTGTACAGTACCATCAGAGGCCAGAAAAGGGCATCAGATCTCCTGAGGCTGGAGTTACAGAGAAGTGTGAGCTACCATGTGGGTGTTGGGAATTGAACCCAGGTCCTCTGAAAAACGCAGCCAGCACTCTTAGCACTGAGCCATCCCTCCAGCCCCCAATTGTTGGTACATTAAGGAACTATGCAATTTTTTTTCTTTTCTGAGACACAGTCCCACTATGTAGCCCAGGCTTGCTTCAAACTTGTGATCTTCCTGCCTGAAGGATTATAAATGTGTGCTTCCAAACCTGGTTCAAAATGCAATTTTGAAAAAGCTATTGTTGTTCATCCCTTACACTAGCCCTCTGAGGCACACAGCACTCTTACCACCATTTTAAGAGCTCAAGTCACTTGCTGACAATATATGGCACTGGGCAGAGCAGCATGGGACACTACCTTTAGTGTCCTGTGATCGCCATTCCTTTACTCTCTAAGGGTGTTGGTTCCTGTCTGTTGACTGACCTAAGGGAGAACTGTAGGAAGCTAGTGTTTTGAGTTATGTTGGTTAGATTGTGTGGACACAGTGCCTAGCAGAGAAACTTAGGAGGCCGGACAACTAAATGACAAGTTCTGAAAAGGACCTTTCTCAACTAAAACATGGCACAAAGATGTAGCCCTTTTAATGTAGCCATCCTCAATTCTTTGCAGTGACAGTTAAGTAGCTATAATTTATCTTAGTCCCTTGGTTGGTACATTTGCCGGTAGCACTTGTCAGGTTTGAGCCCAGTGTCCCCTTTCTGGGGTTCAGTTATCCAAGAACACTGTGCTATAGATACTGTGCATTGAGTATGTGCTGTTATGGTTTTGTTTGTTTGTATTTTCAGTTTACTTAGCACTCTTAATGGCCATGGTAACTGAGTACAGCCCAGACTCAGGACTATTTACCAGCCCATGTAGCTCACACAAAGTAGCCACATTCTTCCCTTTTTCCAGTGGCACTGGCTTTGGGCTTAGGCCTGAGTGTGCTTGTCTTTCTTTAAAGTTGAGTACAGAAACAGTTCTCTATTCAGGAACAAACAGATTAGTTAAATTACCTTAACAACTGCAGTGCCAATCTGTGGGGTATCTCAGTTCCATAGAGGTGCTTACTGAGGCAGCAGTTTCTTCCTTTCAGTAAGAACCAAGTGTCTTTTCTTGGTCAGAGTGGCCAGCTTGACATGAAGTCCCATTTGTCTTTTCACTGTGTCGATTGAGACCTCACTTTTGACTTTCCCTTCCTCTTCAGAAAGGACTTAAGTGTGAAATACCCTGGAGACCTTCCCATCACCCTTCCAAATCTGCTGAGGTTCATTCTGCATCACTCAGATCCTGCCTCTGCCCCCCAGGACCTTGGCATCAGCCCTCCTACCCAAGAATGTGTCCAGAGTGAGGCAGTCCTGCAGCGTGAACACATCTCTCACATGGAGAATGCCATGCAGAAGCTGAGATCTGAGATGAACAGCCTACGCCGTACACAGGAGCAGGTGGAAGGCCGACTCTTTAGTGCCCGCAGGGATGGGCACCGCCTGTTGCGACGGCAGCGGGCCCTGGAGCAACAGCACAGGCTACTCCAGCACCACAGCCAGAAACTGCAGGCCCGGTATTTGCAGAAGGCCCGTGAGCTCCAAAAGCTGACCGGGGCCTCAAAGACCCTCCTCCCCGAACACACGTGGCTCAAGATCCTTGTGGCCACTATGGAGAAGGAGCTGGAGGGCCAAGGTAGAGCTAAGGAACCAGCCCCTCTGGAAAAGGCTCGCCCCAACCACTCTAAGCCCATGGGTGCTACCCAGTTACGTGAAGACACCCCTCCGCCCTCCACCACCAGCTCTACTCTGGCATCAGAAAGGAAGCATGAAAACAGGACAGACTAACTTTTGAATGAGATGAAGGAATCAGAGGTGAAAAATGTACATTGGGAATATATTTATGCAAATTTTATTGAAATTTATTGTAAATAAAGATTTTTCTCAGTGGTCTAGAAAATGAACTTGAATGTCATTCAACATTTATTGATCAGGAATGGCATCCCTTCCACTTATTGCACAAACTTGGTAGTTTTGAGACACAGCAGTAGCACAGTCCATTTGCAGATCTAGGGAAGTCAGTCCTTGCTTCAGTGGCTTAGCCTTGGAGTTCCTGCCTCTCTCAGGATGCAAAGCTAGCTTCTTACTCATCAGAGACCTGACCTCAGTAGTTGCACTATTGAGAAAAAATCTGAAGGGAGGTCATAAGTTAGGAACCACTCGAGTGTACAGCTCTGGTGCACACTAAAAAAAAAAAAAAGGTGGCCAGTGATAAACAAGAACAGGGAAGACTGTTATGTAGTCATTCACTAGTTCTAGGTTTTTCTTCCTCCCTAAGACCCCACAAGCGCCTTACAGTGCCTGAACTTACTCAGCACTCATTCATCCCACTCTGGATGGGCAGACTCAAACTTCAAAGACATTCCTGGCAATAGGGGAAGGAGACAGGAAGCTCCCCAAAAGTACAACTGATAAGAATGTGATGATGTCTGTTTGAAAAACAAACTTCATTCACATAGTAAGAGCTGCAACCTGTGTCTGACAGTGCAGTGATGAGCAGCTCCAGGAGCCAGGCTTAAACTTCACCATCAATCCAGGCTGTTCTTGGATCAATGGATGGTAGCTGCTGACTGCAAGGACAATTAGAGGTAGAAAGGTAGATGTGGGATGGGGATGGGTCAAACCCCTCAGCCTCTGCCTAACTCCAGGCAGATCCTTTCCTACCTTCTGTACCCCAACTAGACCTGAAGAGTCATTGCTCCCAGACCTAGCCAGCCTCAGCAGCCTCTGATGATGGCCAGCCCATCCCTGACTACCTGTTTTCATGACTTAGCTGTCTCACTGGGATCAAAGAATTTCTCCTAAGCTGTTCACCCCTCCTTAGGTGTCTCATTCCTATCTTCACAGATGGCCTTATTACCTCAAGCTGTTTCTTAACATCCTCACCCCTCACCCTGCCATTGGTATACACTGCTAAAAAGAAGTGTTCCTCACAGCTCCTCACTTCGGGTTGCAGAAAGTAGATTCGTTTCACATGCTTTTTAGGGCTGTCTCCAGCCTAGCCTGCTTCCTGCCCACGTTGCTCTCAAGGGTGCTGGCCAAACCAGAGCTGGCCACCTGTCCATCACTGAGGATGCCAACACACTCATGTTTAGTCACAATGGTTTAGATGCTCTGATAGTGGTGAGATTAACATGAGCAAACTTATAGACATGGATATAAGGAGTACCCAGAAACACAAGCTGCTGGTTCCCTACAGTGAGAACCAGGCCCTGAACTTGCACTCCTGGTGGCTCTGCTGTAAATGCACACTAGAAATGACCTTCTGTGGCACATAGTGCCTTTTGAGCTGGGTCAGGGAGCTCTGTCTACAAAGCTCCAAGGATCAAAGTGAAACAGAATACCCACCAGAGAAGAAGGAAAGGTGGGGAGAAGAAAAAAAAAGCAAGAGTCACCCCCACCCCCACCCCCACTCCAGTGCAGACAATATTAAATACAAAAACAAAACCTTGCTTTCTTGGGCTTCACACTTCAAGTAGCCACCACAGGCTCTGGTGTTTGCAGAGGACCAGAGGAGTTTCTGCAAAGCCTGTACTAAATGGTGTACTGGGCATGCTCAAGACCAAAGGGCAAGAAACTGCTCTGCCAAGCTGCCTGGCAACCCTCAGGACTCAGGACTTGTCCTTCACAGGCTTCCAAGCAGTACAGCAGCTTCCTTGCAGTAACTCTGCCATCTACACATACTGCTATTTGACAAAGCTGAAGCTAGAGAAAGGGAGGAGTGTGTTTTTTCTTCCACCCATTACTAACCAAGGAGAAATCACCCAAGCACTCCAGCTGCTGAGCCTCTCACTTCCCCTCCATACACAGATAAAACCTCAGTGTACCCTGCCAAGGGCAACTGGGGCCTGACCAGTCAGAGACCTTCCATGGTCATACCTCAGCTCATCATGAGTACAGTCACCATCAAGCCAGTCCTGTGGGATCTATGTGGTATTTTTAAAAATCAGCAAAAAGGCTTAAGCACGTGCTTCTGGGCCTATTTACAGTTCACAGGTTGGTTAGTTCACGCATTACAGTAGTAGCTCCATCAAAAACAGGCTCAGCTAAAACATTCAAGTAACAAAAGCACTAAGGGGTCATGAGCCCGAGCAAGGTCAGGCCTGCCCACCGCCTGCAATGGGCAGGCCCACTGGATGGCTGAGCGGGAAGGCCAGTACAGCCAGGACCCGGCGTCAGTGCATGCAATGACGAAGCCCGAGGAGACCATGCCAGCAAGTGTCAATCCCTCTCACATAGCAACATGTCTGCTTCTGCCCTCTCAGTGCTTCTGGGCTGGCTGCAAACAGAACCATGGCCTTCGCAGCTCAGCTCAGCCATGCACTTCTGGGCCGTTGGCGGTCATCAACTTGGCCTTTCTTTCCACGCACGGCCCCTTGGCAGAGTACTGCACCAGTAGAAAGGGCTCCTTTGTCTCGCCATCACCCACGATGCTCTCCTCATCCTCTGACTGGCTGATGCGCTGCAGCCGCAGGTAGCACCAGCAGCCCAGGATCAAGGCCCCCAGGGCAGCAATGGCGATGAGGATGACAATGACCGTGACCACCCCCGTAGTGGGGCTGTGGTCCATAATAGACATGGTCAGTGCTTGGAGGGGCTTCTTTGGTGGAAAGCTCTTGGTGTGGCTGGCTCAACGAGGCTGGGATTCGGGCTGCACAGAACAGTCCTGAAAGACAAAGCCAGGAGAGACTATACTAGCGGCTCTACATGGGACTCAGCCACCCAGCTGGCCCTTGCTGGGTGTTTTTAAGTTCCTGAGCTCAACCAGTGCCCTCGACCCATGACAATTGTGGGATTCGCTTGCCAGTGTGTCTGCCCAGATGCTCACCCAGCCTACTTCCCCCAGCTACTTCTAACAGCCAGGTGCTTCCGCTGTCAGTCAGTCTCTCTGATGGGAAGGGCAACAGGGGCGCCATGGCAGTTGAAGCAGAGGCTCCAAGAGGACTGGCCACTAATCTGGTTCTTCTGTTGAAGGTATACATTGGTTTTGGTTTGTCTCTGAGACAGAGACTTACTCTGCCCAGGCTTTCTCAAACTCCTGATTCTCTGGCCTTCACCTCTGAGCCTAAGGATCACAGGCATGAGCCATTAGTGTGTGTCCAGTAACCACTCATCCAGGAGGCTAGAGAGGAAGGATCCAAAAGCAGATAAAAAGTATCAACTCCTGTGGGGGGAGGGGTCAGGTAACTAACACAGAATGACTCCATCTTCAAGGCCTCTAGGGTCCGGGGGGAGAGACCACACACCAGCAGACAGCTCTGTCCCATGGAGCCACAGATGGTCTGTGAAGACCCTGGTTTTCAGGGAAGGCAGAAGGAGTGAGGTAGCTAGCTCCTGCACAGACAGCTACAGGAGCCAAATTTCCAAGAGGTCAGCTTCTACATGTCTGTCCAGGTATGATCACATAGGGAACACAGGGACCAGGTGGTGTGATGCTAAGTGGGTGGGCAGGCAATCTGCAAAGAGGCCACACTGGCAAGGAAGAACATTCATGGCAGGGAGAACAGCACTATTAGGGCTCTGAGGGCAGGAAGGAGAGTCTGGGTGCAACACCCTTTAGGGTGGCAACAGGAAGTGAGTGCCAGCTGGGCTCAGGCATGCTGACAGAGTGATGCCAGGACATGGAGAGCTGAGATGTTCCCTAGTTACAGGACCTCAGAGCCAGTTCCATGTCAGTCACAATCCTCGCCCTTAGCCAAGGTTGCAAGTGGCAAAGGAGAGGGAGACTATGGGTACACACAAGGCCTGGGGATCCTGAACTCCAGTCTTCCTCTTAAACTTCCAGGGCTTATTCTAGCCAGCCACAGCCCCAAGGGGTCAGGGCTTCCAGATACTGAAGCCAGCAGGCTGTGCCAGTGTCTCAAGGCCCTCCACTTTCTTACTAATGCCAGTCAGGAATTGACACCAGAGTAGTTCCAAGACGATGCCACAAGACTTTTCTGCATAGGCCAGGCATAACCTACACTGAATAAGACCCGAATGTCCAAATTCTTCCCATTCTCATCTCCGAGGTACAAAGCACTGGAAGATCCATGCACTCCAGAAGTGATGGAGCCTGCTGCATCCTTGAGCAATGATCCCCTTAATTAGAAAAGACTCTCATTCAACCATGGTGGCTGTCAGGGGTCAGTTCTATCTGAAGATCACAGGTAGCCAAATCAATGCCCTGCAGTGCCCAGGAACCAGGGTCAACGCCAAGGAGCACCACCCTCGTCACCTGTGCTGATGCTGCAGGGAAGCTCCCGGCAAGGAAGGGCAGCATCCTCTGATGGTCAACCTTCATTGTCTCTAGGGTCTGAGCTGCCTGGGTCCACTCTTGAAATCAGAACACATAGGATGTGCCCAGGTGTGTATAGAGACTGACAGTATGTCCTCATTCCTGCTAATTGCTCTCCAGCCTTGTGCCTTCCAATATCCTCCTGGACCCAGGCCTTTGACCCCATAGTTCCTTCTGCCCATGGTACTCCATTCCGTGGCTACACCTGGTAGGCAGAGTCCAAGGGTTCTGCTCAATACCCTCCAAGGTATAGGGCAGTTCCCAAAACCTCAACACAGAAGAGCCTGGCCTCAAATGGCACCCATGTGGAGGTGGAGGAAGACACTCTGACCTAATTTACACTGGCTCCAGGAAGGAAGCCTCTCCCAACCAGAAGGCCAGGGAGGCTCCCCTCCCCCCTTCCCATCCTGGGCTTGGCCTCCTGGCCCCTGGCTTCCCCCACTCCCAGAGCTGCATGTCCCAAGAGTGTTCTGCTAGCTCCATAGCCTGGCACTCACCCTGTCAACATAAGTTCCCACAAGCCCATGCATCCAGACCATACAGGATACCCATGGTTCTGCCTCTACCTGCCCTTCCTCCATGGTTGACAGGAAGGCAAGGCAGTAGCAATTCAGAAAGGGAAATGTGTGTTTGGGTCTGGAGTGGTTCTAGGATAGGAAGTGGAAAAGATGATGACCTCAAACTCTTGTCCACTATGCCCACCCCAGGCCTGGAGGTGGACAGAGCCTCTCACCTCTAAGCACAATGACTTGTGGCCCAGCCAGTTATGCCTGGCCTGTGGCCTCCACCTATCCCTAATAGGCTTCTTTCTTTTTTTAATTTAGCAGGTGCTTCCTGAGAAGTGATCTAAACCTGCTTCCTGGACAGACATCCAGACATGGTAGGCTCAGAAGGGAGGGCTCCTGAGGTGGCCTCACCATCCCTGGAAGCCTCGTGAACTGTCCTGTGGCTGCCTCCATCCTTAGTACTGGGCTGGAAGCGCTCTTAGAGGTGACTCTGGCTTCCAGGACTCCAGATGCTGCTCCTTCAAACACTGGCCAGCGCCTACAGCCCCCTCTCCCCGAGTCTTTCCTAGGGCTCTCAGCTATTTGCCATTCTCCTATTTTAGAGGGTCTTTTCCTGGCTGTTGTCTCCTGGCCTGTGGCCTCCAGAGAGTCTAAAAAAAGGTCGCTGTCTTTCAGGTTCAGAGCTGTGCTGTACTGCCCTAAGAGTGACACATAGTGGGTGCACAGTAAAGACTTCCTGAGTGTTCCAACCCTGGGTGTGTGCTGACCCTCACGGGGACCAATCAGAGGACCATAGCCCTGAGCCAGCTGCATAACTCCATACTACTCCCGGGTTCCTAAGCACAGGTCCCCATGCCTGCCAGCAGCAGCCTTTGGGAAAGGAGGATATGATCCAAGTTCAGGGCAGGGGCAAGGAATGGCAGTAGAGCTCAACAGGTCTAAGCCCTAGCAAGAACAGCTAACTCAATGTTCTCAACCTTCCTAATGCTGTGACTCTTTAAGGCAGTTCCTTGGGTTGTGGTGACCCCAAACACACAATTATTTTCATTGCTACTTTGTAAGTGTAATTTTGATACTGTTGTGAATCATATTGTAAATGTCTGTGTTTTCTGATGGTCCTAGGTGACCCCATGTGAAGGGGTTGTTTGACCCCCACAAAGGGTTGAAAAACACTGAGCTAACTCTTCATGCTTGAGGCAAGAAAGGGCGGCAGCAGAGAGCAGAGCCCAGAGGAAACTGGGATGCCCTGAATCTGCCTAGTACAGCCCTCTGCACACCACTGACTCCCTTTTCATCCACCAAGGCCCATGGGTCAGGGCATAACACATCCCATTTGAGGAAAGTTCTAGACCACCTCACAGCTATCACACCAGAATCTACTTTATCTCCTCCCTAATTGCCTTGATCATCCATTCTGCAGAAGAGGAAACTGAGGCATGGGGTCAGCTAGAGCACAGGCCATACAGTGCCCTATTTTGGAACCAAAAGCAGTGACAACTTCCAGGTGAGCACTGGTCAACATGGGCCTGGGCACTCCAAGCCCAGTCTGCAATGGTTAACAATGGGCATGCTTTCTCAGGACCCAGAGCAATGGTCTCAAAATGACAGTGTGGCCTCTGAGCAGGGGTCTCCTGTAGGTCCTTCTTAGTGAGGGGTCACTGTTACCCCTACTTCTTCATGGGATCCCCAGATAACTCTTCATACCACTATTCATGCTCAAGCCAGAGGGCAGCAGGGCAGGCCGAGTTCCTCCCTTTTTCCTCTGTGATCCCTTGTACCCCAATGCACAGAGCCTGGCCTGGACCCAATGTCACAAATAGCTTCTTCTCTGGTGACACCCTACTGCCTGTTCCTTACTTAACTGGGCACATCACAAGTGTTACTGTACTCAGCTGGGCACCACTGTGCCACCCCACCTTCCGGGGCCTCTAAGGGAGCCAGGAATGGTGCCCTGCTTTCAGGGCCAGCTAACACCCAGGAGCTTCCAGCACCGCCCCATTCTCCAGCAAAGCCACCTGCCAAGTATCCTCTTCAAAAAACCCCAGCCCCAAAGTATTTCCTGACCCAAGTTTCCCTCTTCCAAACTCCTAAACCATCATTATCAAGGGCTTCTGCCATCCAGGAGCTTAGATCAAGGATCAACGGCAACTCAGAAGGAAGCTGACACCTAGCACGGCTGCGTCCACTGTCCCCTCACCCTCCACCTCCCCTCTAAAAGAGAACCTGCTCAAGGTGCCATCCCACTGCTGAGAAGCTTAGGGACTGCCCCCAAGGTGAGCTGCAATCTCATGGTCCAGGCCTGAGTCCTGTCCCTACTGTGGAAATCAGACAGGCACGCTTCGGGGTTCCATTTAGCCATACAACTTTGATAGCGACAGAATAGTAGACACTGAAAAAGTTCTTTGGTGCCACATTTGAGCTCAACATCTTATATAGATCTCTCCAAAATTTCTGTTTCAAAACAATCCTAGAGTTGAGTTACTACTCTTCCCAGGTGACAAATACTCTGCAGCTTAGAGAAGTCAGCTGCCCAAGGTCACACAGTTTAAAAGTGGATGTGCGATATCCAATCCAGACGGCCCTGATCCTAAATAACTAATTTCAAGCCTTATTCCAAAAAGTCATATACCTGACCTGTCTCCTCTCTCCTGGCGGCTGAGCTAGTCTAGGTGATCTGGGCTGAGGACTAGACAAGGATGAAAGCGGCCCCAGCAGCTCCCGCGTGCAGGCGCGGGCGTGCAGGCACGGTGCCAGGCGACGCCGCGTCTCCCCCACTCTACCGAAGGTGCAAAGCGAGGCGAGGGAAGCAGGGGCTCGTTCAGGGGACGACAGCTGCGGAGGAAACGACAGCTGAAGAGACAAATCAAGTCCACCTGACCTGGGTTTTTTTTGGGGGGGAGGGTGTTGGGGGATGGGAGGTGAGATCCAGTCAAGCCCACACCGCGCAGTTACGGCGGACCCGACCTGGGACCAAACGCCGCGGCTTGTCCTCAGTTTCCCACCGATGAAACGGGCGCCAGATTTTCCCTGGGTCCCCCCCACCCCCCGTTCCCCTCGATCTCATCTTGACCACGCTGGGGCGCTGCCAGGAACCCCGTCAATGAGTGTTGGGACAGCCCGGACAGGATAGCGCAGGACGCAGAACCGTGGATCGCGGAGAGGGGCAGATGCCCCGCCGAGCAACCTCCGTCCCTCTCTGCCTCCTTTGTCCCGATCATGCGGCAGAGGACAAAGAGCCCCCGCCCGCGCCCGGCATCCGCCGCGCCGACCCGCCAGCGCCGCACCCCGGCCGCTCCGGCGCGTCCTTCCCCCTACCCACCTGCCCTGCCTAGCCCTGCTCACCATGTCGCGGCCCGCAGTCCGGCGCAATCAGCCAGCAGCAGCCCCGCCGCCCCGGCTCCGCCCGCGCGACAGCCGGGTCGGGCCACCGAGCGCAAGCCAGACGCCGAAGACTGATCCCCCGGCGGGCGGGGCGCTTCGGCTCCGCCCAGGCTGGGGGCGGGGCGCTCGATGCAGCCAACGGGAGATCGCGCTGGGACGGCGGGGCGGGGCGGGGTGGGACGGGTGGAGTCACGTGCTCTCGGGGCGGGGCTGCTCGCAGTGGGGAAGGAGGGGAAGTGTAAGCAAAGAAGGTGGTGTTACCCAGCTGGGGACTCCGGGAGCCCGGGACAGGGCGGGTAGGCGGCCGGGCTCCTAGTTTGCTTATTGGGTGCTGGCAGTACTGGGCCTGCTCCTCTTTCTGCCCAACGCCAGAGGGGAAACTGAAGCGCACAGCAGGTAAGAGTGTGGCACGCCGCCCGGAGATTGCAGGCACGGGCAGAGTTGAATGACATTGCTTTGGAATGGAGCTGGGCGATCTTTTTTTTTTTTTTTTAATTCCATCGTCATTCATCCATCCACCCACCCATTTGCACCGATCATGTTACCTTGCTGCGCTGTCAGCCACGAGCCAAACAAGGTCCCAGTCCTCAGAACTGCGGACTCCGGGTGCGTTATTTTAACATAGCTTTAGTTGAGCCTTCACCAAGAGCCGTACTCTGTTCAGTCCGTTCAACACACCAAATAAAAATGTATCATCCCATTTGACATGAGGTAACCAACGCTCCAATGGTTCAAATACTACCGATGTGCTCTCGTGGAGGTAGGATTAGAAACCAGACATAACTGGCTAAAAACACAGAGGCAATAGTTGGTGTAGTGATGGCTCCCAAGAAGAGAGTCCAGCGACAGGACAGGACTCCCCACAGTGGCCACCTGGAACTCCCAAGCGTCTCAAGAGGGAAGACAGGAGAGGACAACTTGGTCGGGGCAGATCAGGCGGGATTTGTCTGGGTGCTGGGAAGCTAGGAACTGCTCACTCTTTCTCAGACTCAAGCAGAAGGTCCTGCACCCAAAGCTGAGGTGTGGCAACCTCCTCCCTCCACCCATGCTCTGCTGAGGGTTTTCCCCTCCATCCAAGGCACCAAGCGGTTTCCTACCTTCCATCTTTGGCCCATGCCATTTCTTTTATCTTAAACATTTTTCCACATCTGGAGGCCTCCATTTGCCCACGCAGTGGCCTCCCCTGTCCATTGGAAAGTTGTGTTTTCCAAGGATATCTCATTACCTTTTGGTCTCTGTTTCAGGACTAAGCCCTTGCCATTCACTTATGAGTCTACAGAAAGTCAGTACATAGTAGTTCTGCTAAAGGACCAGGCTGAGGAGATGAGCTGGGTTAGAGCAAGAACGGGGCATAGAGAGAGGCAAAAGGAAGCAGGGCTCTAGGCCAGCACCCTATAGGCCAGAACCAAATGTCTCTGAATAGCTCCTGTTCACAGATCTCCCCATGACTGTCCTCAGAGCCCCTACCCCATGAACCGAGTGAACCATGGCTGGGAGTGCAGGCTGAAAGGAAACAGGCTCTTCCCCCACACCAGCACAGGATTTGTGGTTTTGGCCTCAGGTGGCCAAGAGCTCATTAGTGGTCTAGGCTTGGAAGAAGTAGGTTCAGAAGTCTGGGTCTGACAGGGAGGCAGGGACATGATGGAGGAAAGGACATGGTAAGAGGTAAGGAGTATAACACAGACATGACTTGGTCCTCCCTACTTCCAATCTAGCCACCTGGAGGACTCACCTAACCTCTCCGTGCCTCACTTTTCCTCACCTGGAAGATGGGAACAACAGCAAGGTGGACCTCACAGAGTTGGGAACACTTCAAGTAATGGACACAGGGGAAGAACTCCTATCTGCTCACTGGTCATCTTAGTAACAAGCTAGGTTTAGAGAAGACTCAGATCTCATTTGGATCTTGGGCCAGTGACGGTACCTCTCTGAGCCTGGGCTTCCTCATCCTCTCATTGGAGCTCAGTGCTGGAGATAGTGAAAAAGGCTGGCAGTCACCCAGAATGCTTCACTAACAGGGGCAGTAACAGACACGAAATGTGAAAAGTGACAGGCTAGGGCTATGGCTAGTACAATACTTGCCTAGCATGCAGAAAGCCCGGGTTTCATCCCCAGCACTACATGAAGAGGACGCAGCAGCAGCACACACCTGGAATCCCATTTGAGAGGTGGAGGCAGGAGATTCAGGAGTCATCCTCAGCTACATAAGTTTGAAGCCAGCCTGGGCTACATGAGACCCTGCTTCAAAAAAAAGAAAAAGTGGGAAGCAGGTAGGTAGTATTTACCAAAGTGGAGTCCCCATTTCACAGAAGAGAAAGTGGACACTTACAGCCCAGTGTCTCCAAGTCACCAGGAGGGTGTCACAGTGCAGATTTTCCAGTACTTAGTTTGAACCTGAGATTTGCCTTTTTTGTTTTGTTTATTTGTTTTTTGGCTTTTTGAAACAAGGTCTCGCTATATAGTCCTGCTGCCCTGGAACTCACTCTGTAGACCAAGTGGCCTCCAACTCACAGAGACCTGCCCCCCTCTGCCTCCCAAGGGTTGGAAGCAAAGGTGTGCACCACCACCGCCTGGCTGAGATTCTGCTTTTCTTATGAACTGCCAGGAGGCGTTGATCATGTGGGAACCACACTTTGAGCAGTCAGGGGCTAAGTCAATTACTGAAGGTGACAGAGGCAGCAGGCATTTCACCTGTGCTTGAGCCCACACGGCCAGCTGGGAGCCCTGCACTTGTAAGTGTGACCCTAACTTCTTGCCCTGTGCCCTAGCTTTCTCTCCCCCACAGACAGGCAGGAAGTTTTGTTCTCCTCCTGCAAACTATCTCCTCTCTCTGAACCTCTTCTTCCTCTGTGGTGACATCTGGCCCAGGGTCTTCCCAATGGGACTGGCTGGAGGCTCTCAGGTTTTCATTAACAAGAAAGATAATTAAGGGCTTGCTGGGGCCCAGCTGGGCCTGTTGTGGGGCCAGTCTGGCTCTCTGCCCACTTCCCCAGAGTGCCAGAGGCACTGGGACAAGAAGGGGCTTGCTGGGGCTGGGAGTAGAGAGGCTTCAGCTAGCCTCAGAGGAGACAGCCAACAGCTGGGCCTTCCTGCATAGCCACCATGCTGAGCTTGTCAGCTGCTTCCCAGGGTTCCCAGGAGGGGCTTAGGCCTAAAAACAAAGTAAAAATTAGTTGGCCATAGGGGAGTTTCCCGTCCAGCGATGGGGACCGCTGAATTCTACAGAGTGAGGCTAGGTGGAACACAGAGAGTTCCCCTTCTCTTTCAGGGAGTGGAGGCCTCAGTGGCTGCTGAATGGCTTTATTGTTATATTTGTGGCTGGTATAGCCTCTCACAGCTAGGAGGCTTGCTTGCCCTTCTGAGGCAGCTGGCACTCCTGAGCTACGATGTGTTGTTTTCTATGCAGTTATGTCTCACTTCCCTTTGCTTTACAAGCCAGATATTTCCTTTTCAGTTTTGATAGTAACACATTCATTACTATTATTTTGTGTTTTGTATTGTTTTGTTTTTTGAGACAGGGTTTCTCTGTGTAGCCTTGTCTGTCTTGGACTCACTCTGTAGACCAAGCTGGCCTCAAACTCACAGAGATCCACCCGCCTCTGCCTCCACCAGTGCTGGAATTACAGGGGTGCGCCACTGCGCCAGGCTGCCATTGCCGTCTTTATCCGAGGAATTGTTACTATCCATGAGAGACCTTCAAGAAGGGGCCCATGGCCTTTTATGGATGGAAGGGATGGATTAGACCCTCATCTGAGATACCATCCACTCTGTCCTACTCCGCCCTCCCAGGAGTGTGCAATTCTGCCCCAGCTATTCCTGAGGCACTACAACAGAGCTTCTCACTCTCTGGGTTGCAACCCCTTGGGGGTTGTTGAACGATTCTTGTATAGGGGTCATATAAGACCTTTCTGCATATCAGATAATTACATTATGATTCATGGCAGTAGTAAAATTACAAACATGAAGTAGCAGGGAAAGTAATATTATGGTTGGGAGTCACCACACATGAGAAACTGTATTATTAAAGGGTGACAGCTTTAAGAAGGTTGAGAACCCCTGAGCTACTGTGTATCGAAGATGAAAGGTTGTGTGAAAGGGGATCCCAGCTGAGCAGCCACAGGAAAGCCATCATCCATGTTGCTCTGAGACTTTTCTGTAATGCAACTGTTTGGGGACCATGATTACCTGCTCTTAAAGTAACCCCTCAGTCACATTTCCATCAGTAAGCCAAATAAACTGACTGGTTCAACTAGACTTGGATGAAATTATGTGTTCTGTGCCCTATCTGAGCTATCTGTGCCCTATGTGAGCTGTTGCTCACAGCTCAACCAGGAAGAACTAATGCCACACTCAGTCATGCACCATCCACAGCCACCATGGTTGCTCTGAGGTTGCTTTGAGATCCATGAAGAGCTGTTTCCCCAGGCCCATCTCAGGGCTTTTATAGGACAGAAAATCTGTTCTCTGGATCCAAGCCTGAGAGCTTCCAGCAGAGAGGGAATAGATGGTGGAGTCAATGTGGCAGGACCAGTGAAGACACACTAACAGGAGAACTGGAGCTGCATAGGAGCCCAGAATTGCCATTTGCCAGCCACGAAGCCTTGGGGCATCAATTACCTTCTCTGAACTGGAATTTTCTTATCCATAAAGTGTAAATATCTTCCCTAGCTTGCTGAGAGCTTTAGACATACTGTACACACGAACCTGGAGTAGCTGTGTTGAGCTTGGTCACAGGAGGCTCTTTTTTTTTTTTTAAAGACATGGTCTCATGTAGCCAAGGCTAGCCTTGAACTTGTGATCCTTCTGCCTCTATGCCCAGAGTGTTTTGATTATAAGCATGTGTCAACATTTCTGGTGACACATGCTCTTACATTTTGGAGGCTGGCTTGATTGTTGAGCTGTGGGCAAGGGGCCCCCGATCTTTGTTTGCTGTGAGCACCTGTCTCAGGCCTGCTTCCCTGTCTTGACAACTTGGTGGCCAGCTTCCCGGTAGGTAATCCCCACAGAACACAAGAATGCCTTTTGTGACCTCGTCCATCATGTCCACCTCATTCT